AAGTCAACTCTTAAATAGCGTGGATGCGGGGTCTGGACCCCGGGTGCTGAAGTACTGCACCGTCCAGATCTCGATGTGAAGGAGGGCCCAGATTGACCAGAAACTGTATTCCTCCCGCCCTGAATGCTGTCTGGATACCGGCACACAACAAGTGAATGTAACCGACCATAGGCCTGGGCGTGGTACCTTTGACTCTACAGTTGACTTTGGCTGTTGAATTTCCTTTGTGCTGCGTTCGGTCACACAGCCTCCTCGCCAAACTCAGGCTGGGCATGTCTCAGTCACATAGCCCAGCACAGACAACTGAATTTGTGTTTTACCGGGGGCAACGTTCTGAGCCCCGGTCTGCTGTTGAACAGGGATACTACATTCCTGCCGACCCAAATTTCGAGTTCCATCGCAGAAACATTTAAGACTTCAACCCACGTTCATAAGCAGAGACAATATCGGGAGCAGATTCAAGGAGTTCTCTTTTACTAAACCATCTGTCCTCATATGGTTTTTGACTCTTAAAACGAACCTTGAATTGCTTTTGGGGTCGTCCTCGTGCACCTGTAGAGAAGAACCCTTGTTCTATAATTCGATCCATTTCATGACTCACCTGGCTTGCTTGAAGTTGGTAACGGTTTGAGAAGACCAAGTGGATTCTCATGTGAGGGTTTGTTTCTCTGACACACAAGACAAGTACGAACATACGTTAGTACATCCTCTTTCAATCCCTTCCATTCAAAGCGTTCTCTAACTTCAGCGTAGGTTTTCTTGAAACGAAAATGACCTTCGGTGTCGTGACATTCCCCAATAATCAGACTTTTAATTTTTTCTTGGTGAGGAAGACACAATCGTTGTTCAGTTTGGTCTAGCAAGAAAAACAAACCATCAGTTACCTTATAGTTGGGAAGCAGACTCGGGTCTTTCGCAAGGACATCCATGATAGGTTTCCATATTGGGTCATTAACATATCCTTGGCGAATTTTATCTTTCAGATCATTCCCAACGTCTAGGTAAGAAACAATGGCACCAAAGAAATCACATCTTCTAGACAATGCATCTGCAACCACGTTAGACTTACCTTTGATAGTGTTCAACTCAAAATCAAAAGTGTCAATAAATGCAGRCCATCGTACTAGCTTATCAKAGAKCCTAGGMTGTGTCTTTATCCACTTCAGGGTAGAGTGGTCTGAATACACAGTGAAGTGTCTCCCTAATAGATAGTGTTTYCAGGTGTCTAAGGCACAGACTAACGCATACAATTCCCTTTCGTAGGTAGAATTGGCAACCTTTTCAGATGGCAATCGTGCAGACATAAACTCAATCGGTCTGTAACCATTGCACTGCGCCAATCCCATACTGACTTGCATCAGTGGTGACAACAAAGGGAAAAGATGGATCAGCAATTTTCAGAACAGGGTAGTGAGTCAGAGCGTACTTTACCTTTTTGAATGAGGACTCACAATCCTTGTCCCACAACCATATTGTTCTTTTTTTTATCAATCTTCTCATTGGTGCAGCGAGCAATGAGAAGTTCTTGATAAACTTCCTATAATAGCTTGCCAAGCCAAGAAATGATCGTAACTCAGTTACAGACTTAGGTTACGGCCAGTCTCTAATTGTCGATATTTTCTTTTCTTCAGACCTGAGGCCATCTTGGTTCACTATATGTCCTAGGTATAAAACTTCAGACTTAGAGAACTCAGACTTATTCGGGTTGATTTTGAAGTTGCCTTCTCGCAACTTGCTCAAAACCAGACGAAGATGCTTCTCGTGTTCTTCTAATGTTTTGCTACATACGAGAATGTCATCCAGATAGACGATGACGAACTGGTCCAACCATTGGCGAAATAACTCGTTCATTGACCGTTGGAATGTAGCAGGAGCATTAGTCAATCCGAAGGGCATTACCATAAACTCGTAATGGTCATACCTGGTCGGGAAATCAGTCTTGTGTTGATCCGCGGGCTCCACCTCGATCTGATGGTACCCAGACTTCAAATCAATTTTACTGAAGTACTTGCATCCCTGTAGTTGGTCAAGTAAATCGTCGATGCGAGGGAGTGGTTCAGCATTCTTGACAGTGACGGCATTCAACCCTCGATAGTCAATACATAGACGCAATTCACCTTCCTTTTTGGGCACAAACAAGACAGGTGCTCCATAAGGAGATGAACTAGCGCGAATCTATCCCTTGTCAGTAAGGTCCTGCGGTTGTTTCTTTAACTCCTCAAGTTTCCTGGAAGACATTCGATAGATAGGGCCCTTGGGAATTTTACTACCCAGAATAATCTCAATAGTATGCTTTATAGTACGTTCAGTAATTCCGGTGGATTCTTTCTGCAGATCCTTATATTCAGAGAGAAGACTTTCAATCGTCGGAGGACAGGAAGAAGAAGACTCACCGGCTTTCTTTACCAGTACCAACATGACTTCCGGTTCCAACTTTTTCTTAGAAACCATCAAACGGAAAGCTGGATAACTCATACAGCAAAATGATAAACTTGAGTCAGAGCCAGACTTGTGATATAATTTAATTGGTTTCATTTCTGATTGCGCATCTTTGAGTTCCACGATCTTGTTTTTGAAATCAATGTCCGCGTTAGCTTCTTCGTGTCAATCCATACCCAGAATGATATCAAAAGGTAAATTTTTTTCTATGATTAAGGATAGTTCATGCACAATCTTCTTTCCTTCTTTCGTTTAGAACTGACACTTAATACGATCAACAAACTGAGAGACAGTGATCGTACTCTTGTCTGCTAACATAGACGTTAAGGTCGAGACAACTCTTTTATCTTCATGCCGAGATGCAACTTACGGATTGCCTTCTCGGAGATGTAGGATCTCGTTGATCTTGGGTCTAGCATCGCACCAACTCGTGTTCGTGCGATCTCAACATCTGCAAACAACAACTCGCCCTTAGTCTTCCCCTTTCGAGCCCATGAACTACGTAATGCTAGCAACTCGTTACCTAACTCATCAAGGGATTCATCCAGAGAGACAGAACATAAGACAACATCAGGGCGATCTGGATGATGGGCTAACGAAGAATCATCCTCTGCCAATTGAGAAGAAGGGTAGGAAGGGGTCGTAGGCGCCTTACCTGTCTGTTCGTTCTTACCCTTAATCTTAGTAGGAGCAGATGCTACTCCTACTGGCTGTTCGCTTTTGGGTTCCGGATCTGAGGGCAGTAGTCGATCACATGTCCCGTTGTGTCGCACTTGAGACATTGCGCATTGTCCATGCGCTCCTGTCAAGTCTTTCTAGTCATACCCATTTCGACCCATGGCTTCCCATCATCAATGTCAGGGTGCCATGGAAACGCTCTTTGTTTCTTCCCTCCTGTTCTGGGTGGTCCTCCCTTATTGGCCACAACAGTAGTGACTTCCCCCTTCCCGGAGTCACTGTTGTTATCATTCTCCTCGTTTGGCCACTTTTCCACTGTGTCATCATCAAAGACGACAAGGGTGTGGTCCTGGCGCTTCTGTCGCCAGAGAACTCGTTTCCCATTGTACTGTCTTCCTCCTCCTCCTCCAGACTTGACTACCGCTGCATAGGAATTCTTGACTTGAGAAGTCATTTGTTCCCTTTGCAGGGCAAGGTCACGAAATTGCCTGTAGTTGTACTTACCGGATTTCGCTTCAGTGACTAAGTGTCCCCGGATGGGCTCAGGCAACGCGCGGGAATAGTTGTACAGCTCTTGGCTGTCCTGCAAGTTCAATCCTGGAACCTGCAACAATCGATCAACTTTTCGGGACAAAGCCTCAACTTTCGTCCAATGCTTTTGACCAATTGATGTCAACTGGTCAAAGGCCTTGTCGGTCGTCGTCTCGTCGAGTAAACGGTCTCTGGTTTTCGCCAAGAACTGTTTCAGCATCAGTGTCTTTGCCCACTCACCAATATCTTCGAAACCCGCCGCATTGGCCTCGACCAACACCCATTGCTTGGCCTCACCACCCATGCAAGAAGTGGTGAACGCGACTTGGGACTCCGGCTCGACCGGTGCGGTACTCACATACGTCTGGATTTCTGCAATCCATAGCAACAGACTTTCTTCTTTCTTGTTACAAAACGTAAATGACAACTTCATCTTCACCTTTTCTTTCTTCTTCAGTTTTTCGGGTTCAGTGCTTGTCTTTTCTGGAGTTTCTTTAGGAGTAGACTTAGAAGAATGAGAAGAGTGAGGAGTAGATGGTGGACTTGATCCATTTCCATTGGGTCCATTTCCATTAGTCATTGTCTTTATCACGGGACCAGCAGAGTTTATTGCGTCCCCCATCAACTTTTTTACTTCTTTCTTCTCCTTCTTCTCTTCTTGTTCTTTTTCTCCTTCTTCTCTTCTTGTTCTTCTTCTCCTTCTTCTCTTCTTGTTCTTCTTCTCCCTGAATTTGATTCTTACCTTTCACAATATTAGCAATTGTTCTCAATCCAACAGTGATTTCATCCAACTGATTTTGTTGGCTATCAATCTTCTCCTCAAGAAAGGTAAGATATGCCACAATATAAGCCAACGTTTGTGACATGTCAGTCTGTTCACCGACTTCTGTTCCTATGACTTGTCTCATCTCTTTAACCTTTTCTCCCCTTCGCTGTTCCTGTTCTCTTCTTCTGACTAATTCTTCCTTCTTTCTTTCTTCGGCAACCAGAGTATCTCTGAGCTGCTGGATGTCAACATCAATCGTTTCCTCACTTTCTTTTGGTTTCACCTCCTCTTTACGAGTAGTTTCCATAATCTCTTCCAGTTGCTTCAAAGCAAGCTGGTCTAGAGTCTGTCGCCCCTGAGCAATCAGTTTGGAGGCCTCTGTACCGGTTGCCACAACCTCCACAGCCGTGATAGACTTCTTCAGGCGGTCTTCAACCCCCTGAAGATCGAAATTATCACGGATGTGTTGCTCAGCATCCGGTCCAGATAGTTGTACCTCAGTCAGAAACTGATTCCACAAAGCCAACAGTTCTTCTCTCTTCTTATCAGCCTGTCCCCTTGTCCTGAGTTCAGACGGTCCTTCCCCAACGGAAAGTGTGATCGGAAAAAGAAACAGAAAGGTAGTCAGGAATCTCGTCAAGATAGACTGTTGCAGATATTTCCAGAAGTAAGACATCTTGAGAGAACAGAAACACGAAAATTCGTTGGTCAGATTATTTTACCGCAAAATAAAATTCACGGTCACCTGAATCAGCACGCTGTTCTACCGTTCTTAAACCAGCACAYTGTTCTATCGCAAAAGACAATAATTTCACGGTCACCTATCCCAACACTCTATCTGAGTCAAAAGTAATAATCATGATAAGGAACAGAAGTTTTCTAATTTCTATTTGCTGTTCTGTTTTCAATGTGATGACATCCTATTCTATCTCAGGTACYGCAACTCCAGGCCAKCATGATCAACAACAAACACAAGTGAGTACACAGGTACACAACACAGCCAGACAACAGGTAAGTCCGCCAACAAAAATCAATCAATAGTTAGCGTTTTCCCCTTTTTGCTGTTTCGTCCTTCTTTGTCCTGTGTGACCAGCACACAATCTGACGTTCGGCACCACAGCTTCAGTCATCAAAATGCTGTCCTCACTTAGGCACGATCGTGCCTACCACGTGTCACCCCTGACCTTCCAACTCAGCAACTCAATGAGTATGCCAGGTCAGCAGGTCTAATCAATATCATCAATGGGGTGCACGTCAGCAATGTATGCTGAAATCGAAATACCAGCCTGCCCCGAAGTCGAAGTTCCAACCTGCCACGTGTATCCCCTGGAGTGCCAACACAGCAGCACCGTAATCCAATCAACATCATCGAGGAGGTACACGTCAGGAGCGGTACCAACACGCCACGTAAGCCGGGTAACTGAATATGACACTGCCACGTCAGCCTCTTGTCTCACCGAATGGTGAGTCAGCAATGCCACATCGTCAATCCGCTAACATCCACCGGCCACGTCAGCGATACTGCATACTCCAAATATCAATGCCACGTGGATGCCACGTCAGCATATGACGTGCACTATCATCAATGCCACTTCAATGCCACGTCAGCGTCGGACATATGGACCAAGGCAACGTCAATGCCACCTCAATCCCATGTCAGCATCGGGCATGTATACCAAGGCCACGTCAATGCCTCGTTAATGCCACGTCAGAATCTGACGGGCGCTCTCTTGTCCACGTCAGCCACTTCAATGTAGATGCCACCAATTGTCGTTGTCGCCTCTGTAACACTATCGGAATTAAGTTCTTACAGGTGACTGTAGTGAATATGGTGAAGGCATAGTCTTACCCCATCAGTAATGGTGGAAGGTCGAGGTTCCAAGGGTTCGGTTGTTCGCCGATGAAAGTGGTAAACTCATTGCCGTGCCAGACGAGTAATCTCTTACCTTATTACTTCACTATATGCGGGAAAGTAGATCTGCTCCGATACCAAATTGCAATGAGCCCAGACGTGATGATACTCGTCAACATTACCAGTCCATATGATTATCGATCTGCTGATGAATGACAAACAATCGCAAATGTGTGTGATGATAAAATGAGGTGAGAATCATGCACAGACGAAGGAGGAGAGAGGGAGAATAGACAAAGGAGAGAGAAGAAGACAACAACCCACTTCTACTTCGGGTTCCTCCTCCTCCTCGCCACCTCATCAATCAATAGACTGAATACAATGTCTGAAGTTCTTCCTCAAGGTGCCACGTGGCACGTCA